GGGTGCAGTGAAGGTTGCTCTGGGAGAGAGTGAAGTGAAAGTAGCTAAGGGAGAGGGTGTAGTGAAGGCAGCTATGGGAGATGGTGTAGTTAAGGTAGCTATGGGAGAGCATGTAGTGAAGGTAGCTATGGGAGAGGGTGTAGTGAAGGTAGATATGTGAGAGAGTGTAGTGAAGGCAGCTATGGGAAAGGGTGTCGTGAAGCTAGCCATGGGAGAGGGTGTAGTGAAGGTAGCTATGGGAGAGGGTGTAGTAAAGGTAGCTGTGGGAGTCAGTGGCTTTGTAGTGCATGGCTGTGGACAGTTTATTCCCCAAAATGGAGACAGAGAAGTCAAGGAAGTGTCAGAAATGGTGAAGGTTATGTAGGGGTGCAAATTGGAGGAAAAATGGACAAATTTTTCAAGGTCCTGGCGGAAGCATGAAGCAGTCGTCGATGTACCGAGAAATGATTTGTCGGAGGAGGCCAGAATAGGACTGGAACAAGGATTGTTCCACCTACCCCATAAACAGGCAGGCATAACTGGGCCCCATGTTGGTGCCCATAGCAACTCCTTTGGTTTGGCAGAATCGAGATGAATTAAAGGAGATATTGTTCAGTGGGAGAACAAGTTCAGCCAGGCGGAGGAGAGAGGTTGCGGCTGGGGCCGATTCAAGCCTGTGGCCGAGGTAGAAGCCACGAGCTCGCAGACCATCCTGGTGGGGAATGGAGGTATAGAGGGATTGGACATCCATGGTGAACAGGAGGCAGTTCGTCTCAGGGAAATGGAAATTGTCAATGTGATGGAGGACATCAGAGGAATTGTGGATGTAGGTGGGCAGGGTCTGGACAAATGGAGACAGGATAGAGTCAAGGTAGTTAGAAATGAGCTTGGTGGGGCAGCAACTGGATGATACGATGGGCCTACGGGGGGCAGTCTAAATTGTGGGTTTCGGGAAGGAGGTAGAAGCAGGCTGTCTGGGGTTCTTTTCTAAAAAGTTGATACAACGCTGGTTCATTCCCCAACCCAGCAGCCTCAGCACCCATTCCAAGTTATAGAGCCACAATGCCAGATAATGAAAATTCCAACTTCTACAGCACTCTTTCTCGGGTCAGATTTGCTGAACTGGGAACTGTCCCAACTCTTGAGCCACGGTTCAGATGTGACTATTGCATAGTGTTGATCGCCACTTGGATTTCTCACGGGTGGTGTTTGCAGGGGGCAGTTGCATCAAACAGTGCACTTCCGGCACTAAGAGGTAAAGAATCATTGAAAGAGCCTGTATTGATGTAGCACCATTCCCAACCAAAACGACATACAGCCTCATGCATCCCATATGAGAGATTCAAATCTCCATCCGAAAGACAGCCCCTCTGACAGAGCAGCACAAGCTCAATGCTGCACAGGAAAATTAGAGCATCAATAAAATCATCACTTTTACTCACACATGTGCGGTTTGGTCACCCACAGTTGATATTGCACCGACAGACTTCACAATATGACCAATAACGTAGACAATGGAGAGGATGATGATGGTTCTGTTTGGAAGCAGAAGAACAAGCACTTATAAATATTACGTTAAAATGAATATAAGTATTACAGTTATCACATTCCAGTGCTTAAGCAGTAGGATGCTTGGGAATCAATTAAATTTATATGGATGACCAAATGTCTGGCTTAACGTCACAGAACTGTTACAGTGCAGAAGGAAACCATTCAGCCCATCCAGACTGCACCAGTTCTATTACCCAGTGTCAATCACCTGCCTTTTCTCCACATCCTTGCAAACCCTTTCTATCCCAATAACTATCCAATGCCCTCTTGAATGCCTCAATTGAACCTGCCTTCACCACATTTCCAGATGTCTCAAAATATCGCAATTAAGGGAAAAGCTGAAATACTGTAGAGATAGTGCAGATGTTTCTGAAGAAGGGTCCCGACACGAAACGTCAGCTTCCCTGCTCCTCTGATGCTGCCTGGCCTGCTGTGTTCCTCCAGCTCCACACTGTGTTATCTCTGAAATACCACAGATTCTTCTTTATTCTTGTACAAGATGTGGGCATTTTGGTAGCTGTACTTAGTTGCATTTGAATTTAGCAGCTTGCTGAGCCACTTCTGAAGGCAGTTAAGAGCCAATCTAATTGCTGTAGATCTGGATTCACCTGTAGGTGGGTTTGATTTGATGTGGTTTGATTTATTATTATCATTTATTGCATTTGTTCTCATAAAAGATGGAATAATGCAGACATTATAGTTAAGGAGGAGGAGTGTGAAAAGTATCATTTTGCATGGCAACCAGACAAATTATACCTTAGTAAGAATATCAGGGTAATAGAACGGAATGCAGAATATAGTATTGCAGCTGCAGAGAAGGTGCAGAGAAAGATCAACTTTAACATATGAGAGATCCATTCATTGGTCTGATAACAGTGTGGAAGAAGCTGTTCTTAAATCTGTTGGTACGTGGTTTCAAACCTTGTACCTTCTGCCCAATGGAATAGGGTGTAAGAGAGTATAACCGGGGTGGGAGGGGTCTTTGATTATGTTGGTTGCTTTCCCAAGCAAGTATAGATGGAGTCAATGGAAGGAAGGTTGGTTTTTGTAATGGACTGGGCTATGTTCACAACTCTGTAATTTCTTGTGGTCTTGAGTAGAGCAGTTGCCATACCAAGCTGTGATGCATCCAGATAGGATGCTTTCTAAGGTGCATCCATAAAAATTGGTAAGAGTCATTGTGGACATGCCAAATTTCCTTAGCCTTCTGAGGACGTAAAGGCATTGACGTGCTTTCTTGACTGTGCTGTCAATGTGGTTGGACCAGGACAGATTGTTGATGATCTTCACTCCCAGGAACTTGAAGCTCTTTAACATCTCCACCTCAGCACCATTGACACAGACAGGGGCGTGTCCTCCACTCCACTTCCTGAAGCTTATGGCCAGCTCCTTAGTTTTGCTGATATTGAGGGAGAGATTACTGTCTTTACACTATGCCACTAAGCTGTCTATCTCTTTCCTGTACTCTGTCTCGTTGCTGTTTGCAATCCGAGCCACGACTTTAGTGTCATCAGGAAATCTGTAAAAGGAGTTAAGGCTGAATTTGGCCACACAGTCATGAGTGTATAAGGAGCGTAGTAAGGGGCTGAGTATGCAGCCTTGCGGGGCACTAGTGTTGAGGATTACCATGGAGGAGGTGGTGTCGCCTGTCCTTACTGATTACATTGAATTGGGGAAGGACAGCAGATTGCCTTCCCTGAAGGACATTAGTGATTCAGACAGGTTTATATGACAATCAGCAATGGTTTAATGGTCGCCAGTAGGCTAGCATTTAATTCCAGATTATTTTAGCAGTCAAGGATAAATTTCATCTGGGCTTGGTGAGTTATCCACTTTCGTGAATACTAATATTTCCTATCTCCTCACAGTTATAACATGCAAAACTTCACACTCCTCCTCCTTAACTATAATGTCTGCATTATTCCATCTTTTATGAGAACAAATGCAACATGTTCATTAAGTAGAAAATCCACATCTTCTATCTTTAGGCATTGTTTACCTTCTGTTGTTTTGTGGGTCATAGTCTTTGCTTAATTATCCTCTTGTTCTTAACGTATTGATAAAACATCTTTGGGTTTGCCTTGATTTTGCTTATAATTATTCTTTTATGTCCTGTCTTTGCTTTCATAAGTTTATTTTTGCATTTCACTCCCACACTTTGTATACCACTTCTGTAGCACTAAGTGTCCTGCTATCTGGCATAAGCTTTCCTTTTTTGCCTTATCTTATCCTGTGTGCTCCTTGAAATGCAGCAGGCTCTAAAACTGACCTTCTCACCCTTTTTCTTTGTGGGAACATGTTTGCTCTGAACACTTTGAATATCCCCCTTAAATACCTCCCATTACTCTAACACTTATTTCCTTTGAGTCGCTGTTTCCAATCACACTGCATCATTCATCAAGCTACTAAAATTGACCTTACCTTAACTTAGAACTTTAAGTCCTGCTCTAACTTTTGTCTATTCCATAATTGTATTATAACTAACCGAATTATAATCACAAACACCAAAATGCCTTGTTCATTGCCACCCCTTCCAGTTGCCTAGTTTTAAATCTGACAGTCAATTCCAGAGTTCTCTTGCTGGACCTGATTGACTGCTAGCTCCTGATTTATATGTTTGTATGTGTACACTGGCTTGGAACATTCGCCTGAATCAAAAACAGAAATTGCTGGAAAAGCTCAGCAGGTCTGGCCAGCATCTGTGGAGAGAAATCAGAGTTAACATTTCGGGTCAAGTGACCCCCCCCCCCCGAGGTTTTTGTTTCTAATTTACAGCTTCCGCAATTCTTTCAGTTTTTATTTATATTCTCCTGAACATATTTCAAAAATTCTGCTCCTTTCATTCTTTTTGCACTGCAACTATCCCAGTTATAAACTTACAATTAATGCCCTGTTTCTTGTGTACTTGTCAGATACTTACCTACATATTTACTTTTCTGTTATGGTTGGTTGGCTCGCCGAGCTGGTTCGTTGTTCCACAGACGTTTCATTACCCTGCTGGGTAACATCATCAGTGCAGTCTCCGATGAAGCGCCATTGTGTTTTATTCAAAGACAATGGATACCCGAAAAACTGGGTCAGAAGATGCCTATTATATGAACGACACCAGGAAGACACTACACGCCCTGACACACTCATCACACTACCCTACATCAGGAACACATCGGAACTCACCACAAGACTCCTACAACCACTGGGCATCAGAGTAGCACACAAACCCTCATCAACCCTATGACAACTGATCACCCAAACCAAAGACCCACTACCCACTATGGACAGGACCGATGTCATATATAAGATTCCCTGCAGAGACTGTGACAAACACTACATTGGAAAAACAGGAAGGAAATCAACAACAAGGGTACACGAACACCAATTGGCTACAAAAAGACGCGACCAATACTCCCTCATCTCTATCCACATGGATAAGGAGAACCACCAATTCGATTGGGACAACACCAAGATCCTGGGACAAGCTAAGCAGAGACAGGCACAGGAGTTCCTAGAAGCCTGGTACACCACGAAGAAAGCCATCAACAAACACACAGAACTCGACCCCATATACACTCCATTGCGAAGGAAAACCGGAAGTGAGGTAATCCAGCCCAATGTACTCCAGAGTTTAAATAACAGGCGGGAAAACACAACGGCGCTTCATTGGAGGCTGCACTGATGATGTTACCCAGCAGGGTAATGAAACATCTGAGGAGCAACAAACCAGCTCGGCAAGCCAACCAACCACAACATCCACAACCTGAGCTACAAATTGACTCCAAAACTTTAGATATTTGCTCTTCTATTTTCTCCTGACTGGTGGGAGTCTAAACTACACTCCCTGCGTTGTGACTGCCCCTTAGTTGTTTCTTATGTCAATCGATACAACCTCATTTGAAGACCCTTCAAACATGACATTCCACTTCATTGCTGTAATTGTTTTTGATCAAAATTGTCAGCAAACTTCTCTGTTCCATCTTGTCTAAAAACCCTGTAACTGGGAACATTGAGCTGCCCTGCATTAGGGCATCATGGAACATAGGAAAATAAGATCAGGAGTAGCCATTCAGCCCTTTGAGCCTGCTCTGCCATTCAATATGGTCATGGCTGATCATCCAACTCAGCATTCTGTTCCTTGTTTACTCAGTACAATTGCTCCTTGTTTCTTCCCATACCCTATGATCCCTTTAGCCCTCAAAACTACATCTAATTCCTTCTTGAAAACATTCAATGTTTTGCCCTCAACTGCTTTCTGTGACAGAGAATTCCACAGGCTCACTACTCTCTGGGTGAAGAAATTTCTCCTCATCTGAATCTTAAATGGCCTACCTTGTATCCTCGAAGTGTGACCCCTGGTTCTGGACTCCCCAGTCATCAGGAACATTCTTCCTCCGCTTATATTCCTGCAATAGCTATGATATCATTCAGCCATATGCCCTCAACTCATCAGGTTTATTTCCTATATACCTTGGAACACAAACTCTTCATTATTTTCTAACATTTGTCCCCTCTGCTTTCCAGACTACTTCACGATTTTTTTGCCTTCTACCTCAGTTTCTGATTTTGTCCCATCTGAAATTGTCCTCAGGATCCTGTCACCCTGCCAAACCAGGTTAAACCCTGCCCAACATCACCAGCAAGCCTTCCTGCCATGATATTTGTTTTTATTGTGGAACCCGATACTGTCTGACTCCTGTAGATGTTTTCTAATCAACCTGTTCACAGATGTTACTACAGACCTCTAGAACAGTAGGACTTGAACCCGAGCATCCTGTCTCAGCCATAGGATTTGCAATGGATAATTGTCTTGGGTTTTCTCCGTTTGCTTATTCATAGAATCATAGAACCTCTACTGTGTGGAAGCAGGCCATTCGACCCATTGAGTCCACATCATCCCTCCGAAGAGCATCCCACTCAAACCTAACCCCTACCCTATCTCTGTATTCCCCACGGCTAATCCACCTAGCCTGCACATCCCTGGACAGCAAGGCCAACCCACCTAACCCGCACAGTTTTGGACTGTGGGAGGAAACCGGAGCACCCAGAGGAAACCCACGCAGACTCGGCGAGAATGTGCAAACTTCATAGAGACGCCCGAGGTTGGAATTGTACCTAGGTCCCTGGCACTGTGAGGCTGCAGTGCTAACCACTGAGCCACCTTGTCGCCCCAAAATAATCACTATCTTTGAGTACAATTTTAAAGGGATAAGTCTTAAGTGGAGGGTCTACACTCATCAGGTCTACATAAATGATTTGGAGGAAAATGTAGTTGATCTAATTAGTGAGTTTGCAGACGATACAAAGATTGGTGGAGTTGCGGATAGTGAGGAAGATTGTCAGAGGATACAGCAGGATATAGATCAGTTGGAGGCACGGGCAGAAAAATGGCAGATGGAGATTAATCTGGACAAATGTGAGGTGATGCATTTTGGAAGGTCAAGTACAGCTGGAAATTATACAGTGAATGGCAGAACCCTTAGGAGTATTGAAATGCAGAGGGATCTGAGTGCGCAGGTCCACGCATCATTGAAGGCGGCAGCGCAGGTAGATAAGGTAGTAAAAAAGGTCTATGGCATGCTCGCCTTCGTTGGAAGGGGCATTGAGTAATAGGATAGGTAAATTATGCAGAGATAGTAAGAACTGCCAATGCTGGAGTCAGAGATAACACAGTGTGGAGCTGGAGGAACACAGCAGGTCAGGCAACATCAGAGGAGTAGGAAAGTTGACGTTTCGGGTCGGGACCCTTCTTCAGAAAGGGTCCGACCCGAAAAATTAACTTTCCTGCTCCTCCGATGCTGCCTGGCCTCCAGTGTTCCTCCAGCTCCACACTAGGCAAGTTACGACAAAACAAGGTGTAGAGCTGGATGAACACAGCAGGCCGAGCAGCATCAGAGGAGCAGGAAAGCTGACGTTTCGGGTCTAGACCCTTCTTCAGGAAATGCAGCTTTATAGGACTTTATTTAGGCCATACTTGGAATATTGTGTACAGTTCCGGTCACCACACTACCAGAAAGATGTGGATGCTTTGGAGAGGGTATAGAAAAGGTTTGCCAGGATGTTGCCTAGTTTGGGGGATTTTAATAATGAAGAAAGGTTGGAGAGACTGGGTTTGTTTTCACTGGAATACAGGAGGTTGAGGGGCGACCTGATAGGAATTTATAAGATTGTGAATGGTATGGATAGAATGGAAGGTATGAGGCTTTTTCCCAGGGTCGGGGGGGTCAATTACTAGGGGACACAGATTCAAGGTGAGAGGGGGGAATTTAAAAGAGATGTGAGAGGCAGGTTTTTCACATTAAGGGTGGTGAGTGCCTGGAACACGCTGCCAGAGGAGGCGGTGGAAGCAGACACAATAGTAACATTCAAGAAACACCTGGACGAATACATGAATAGGAAGGAATAGAGGGATACGGATCCTGGAAGTCACGTCAGTTTTAGCATCGAATGGCAAACTATGTTGGCGCAGGCTTAGAGGGCCGAAGGGCCTGTTCCTGCGCTGTGTTGTTCTTTGACTTTGCACCATGTGGAGCCACAATGACTTCTTTAAGGTGGGGCCGGTGTGCATTTCTGAAATAATCGTGGGAAATGGGTCTTCTCAGTTTCACCTTTGTCTCTTTGACAAGGTTTCAAGGGCAGTCAAAAATTTAGCAAAGGACCGAAAAAAAAATCAGTGCAACACTAATTGCTGGGCTGCCCTTGGACACTTCCTCATGATCAAACAGGCATCTGCAGGAAGTCGAGAACAGTTTGACCAACTCTCCTCCAAAGCTTCACTTGGTGAGGTGGAATCAGGAGCAGACAGCAGTGCACTGAGTGTTAGCGGCAGTGAAAAGCATGGTTAAAGGAGACAGGGGATTCACATCATCACAAAACAGGAAAAGGAGAAATGGCTACTTATTTGAACAAAATGCCAGCTCACTTAAACTTTCCCAGCCAGGAATCAGCAATGAGAGCTCCAAGGACCGGTGTGAAATAGGCCAATCCAGAAAAGGCGTGGTAGATGGCAGTGGATAGATCATCATCCCAATGAAGAAAGTTTGTAAAGTACAAGGTGAGGATAGCTGCAATGCAATAAACATGAGAATGTAAGAAACCGAGGAATGGAAACAGGACATTTTGTTGATCAAACCTACGTTTTCTAGAAAATACAAACCGAGTTATGTGGTGGGAATGCTTAGGAAGCCTGGAACCTCATAGGCAAAGCACTCTGCTTGACTGGCATCCCAAGCACCACCTTTTACATTCATACCCAGCACTACAGATGCACAGTAGCAGCAGTGCGTACTACCCACAAGATGCACCACAGCAACTCACCGAGGCTTAATTTCCAAGCCTAACGTCTACCACCTAGAAAGAAAAGGTCTGTAGACCCATGGAGCACCACCATCTGCAAGTTCTCCTCTAAGTCACACGTCATACCGACCTAGAATGATATCACTTTTCCTTCGTTGTCACTGGGTCAAAATCCCATAACTTCCTCCCTACCAGCACTGTGGGGATATCTAACCCTCATGGACTGCAGCGGTTCAAGAAGGCACCTTCAAGGGCAAGTAGGGGTAGGCAATAAATGCTGGCCAGCCAGCAACACCCATAGCCCATGAGTGAATAACAAGAATAAAAGTCAGAATCCATTCCACGCCCCCCAAGTGCCTCTGGATTACCAGTCACCAGGCTACCCAAGTTTTCTTCAAACCCACTTTAGAAACTGGATTAAAACAGGATAAGAAGGGCTCCTACTGGCACCATTCTAGGACATGGGTGGCACGGTGGCTCAGTGGTTAACATTGCTACCTCACAGTGCCAGGGACGCGGGTTTGAACCCAGCCTTGGGTAACCTTATGTGTGGAGTTTGCACATTGTCTACATGGCTTTCTTCCAGGTGCTCTGGTTTCCTCCCACTCTCCAAAGATGTGCAGGTTAGGTGGATTGGTTATGCTAAATTACTGCATAGTGTGCAGGGTAGGGAGGATGGGTCTGGGTGGGATGCTCTTCAGGGTCAGTGTGGATTTGATGGGCCAAATGGCCTGCTTCCACACTGTATGATGCCAGCAAAATGGAGGTCCATCTGCAACCCACAGGACAAGGATTTTTTTTTTCGGAAAAAAGCATGAAGATCAAACATACCTTTCATGCCATAGTAGGAAAAACGTTCGCAGAATTCGTTCACCACAACGAATAGAATGCTCAGCGGGTAATTGGTTCCACATAGTCTCTGCAGGAGGCAAAAGATGGCAGTTTTCAAAGGAATTGCATTGCATTAAAGAAATACATTGGTAAGTCAACTCTTGCACAACATTACGAGGTTTGAGCAGCAGTTCAATTTCTAGCACTTATGCCTCTAAGTCATCACGTTCAAGACCCACTCCAAATATACGTGTCCCAACGCCTTCCTTTCTCAGGTGTTTCCTGCATGGAATACAAACTGTCAGTCCATGTGCTGTTAGGCAGGGATACAAAACTGTTTATGAAAGACACAAAGTTGATGATTAGTTGAAAATACATTGAGCCACTGTGGGTCAGTGTTTGTCAGATTGAGTTATGAATGTCCAGTGCCTTTAATGCTCGTTAGCAGCAGTGTTTACCATCTACAGGATGCACTGCAGCAAGTTACCAATGTCCTTTCGACAGCACCTTCCAAATCTGAAACCTATATCATCTAGGAGGACAAGGCCAGCAGATCCATTGGGACACTACAGGATCCCGTTCATTTCCTTTCTAGTCGCATGGCCCTCCGAGATCCATCTGTGGCAGTGACTTCCAGTCAATGCTGTGTTGATGCCAATCACAGTGCATGGAACATGGGAGCAGCTGTGCATATGCAGCTTAGAGGGAACATTGCCTGCAAGTTCCCTTTCAAGCCATGCACCAGCCTGACTTGGAAATATACCAGCATTACTTCATTGTCAGTGAGATAAAATTCTGCAATGCCGCCCCACCCCACTAACTAACAGCACCTACATCAAATCAACTGCAGTGGTTCAAGAAGGCAGCTCATCATCACCCTTTGAGGGGCAAATAGGGACGGGCAAGGCATGCTGACTCCGCCTGTGACGCCCACGTCCCATAAATAATTTATGAAACAATAGTTATCAGAACATTTCAGGTATGGCAGGTCTTGCAAACTGTGGGTTGCAACTGTGCAAAAATTTTAGGGTTGGCTGGATGGAGGTGGTAACGGTTATCATGTACTTCAGACTGATTCCTGATAAGATTACACTGACACGTGGACTGACCTTGAGCACATCACCAGGAGCGTTTTGATTTTAGTTGTTGGGATTTTATGTTAATCAATCACTGTAAGACAGGCACTGCCTAGCTCTCCATTGCTTTTCAGAATATTGGATTCGAAAGTACAGGGGCTATGGTGCGGGACATGCAGGTTTGGCCAAATTCACATGCAATTATAGCATGGCTTCCATGAACTCAGAGAAAGGAAAACTTTTAAAGCAAGAGGATAAGACAGTATTAAACAGTAGCTATTTGAATATCAACATCCAGAGTAGGACAGGAAGGGGCAAAATACAGAAAAACAGCAGTAAATAGGGTCAAAGGGGGATAAGGGGCAAAAAAGCAAAATTTTTGACTCTTCACTTGAATGCGTGCAGTATTCTGAATAAAATAAATGAATGTATGGCACAAATGCAGATCAATTATAGACGTATGGAGACATAGTTATAAAATGATCAAAGCTGGAAGCTCAATATTCAGGGGTACATGACTTTTCAAAAGGACAAGCAGGAAGGAAAGGGTGTTGGGGTACCACTGGTGGTACAGGTTGGACTAGGTACAATAGAAAGAAATAATCTTGGATTAGAAGTTTTGAATCCATACTGATAGAAATATGAAATAAAAAGAGAAAGAAGACACTGGTAGAAGCCCCCTAACAGTAGCTGTACGGGGGTGGGACAGAGATAATGACAGCATGTAAAAAAGGCTGTACAATAATTATGAGTGACTTTAATCTTCATGGACACGAGGGTAGCCAGTTTGGCATAAATAGCCACAAGGAAGAATTCAGAAAATGCATTCAGGACACTTCCTAGAACAATATGTTGTGGATCCAACCAGGAATTTATTTAACCAGGAATTTATTTATTTATTTAACCGTTAAACAAATGATGTCAAAGTAAAAGATCCCTTAGGAAACAGTGACCATTGAAGAAACTGGCTCATGGCTCGCATTAAAGAGATATCCCAATGACAGAAAAGGATTCTCGGAAGGGCATAGGTCAATGATGGCCAAGGAAATTAAGGATAGCGAAAGATTGAAACAAAAAAAAGCATACAATATCAGTGATAAACCAGAGGGTTAGGACAGTTTTGAAAAAGAATAAAAGACAACCAAAAGAAGATAAACTTTGAGGGTAAATTTTAAAGTAATATCGATACTAATGGCAGCAGCTTCTTTAAATATATGAACAGGAAGAGAGAAGCCAAATAGGTTATTTAGAGAAGGAGGCTGGGAAAATGATATTTGGAAACAAGGAAATGGCAGAGTAGTTGAAACAATACTTTGCATCAGCGTTCACAATAAAAGACACTCTTAGCATCCCAAAATTACTAAATAATCAAGTGGGAAAAATAGGATAGGAAGTAACTAATTACTAGAAAAAAAAATTGATTGCGAAAGAAATGGGGCTAAAGACCAATCTGTCCCCTTGACCTGATGGTATGCATCCTAGGAAACTAGAGGAAGTAGCTCCAGAAATAGTGGATGCACTGAAGGTAATCTTCCAGGAATCCTTAGATTCAGGTAAAGTCCCAGAGGATTGGAAAAATGCCAACACCTTTATTTAAGAGGGGAAGCAGGCATAAACCATGTAACTGTAGAACATTTAGCTTTTGGTCGGCCATTGGCAAGATAGACTCTATTATACAGGGTACAGTAGCAGGCCACTTGGAAATATTTAATATGATTGAGCAAAGTTAGAATGGCTTCACAAAGGGGAAACATACCTGAGAAATTTACAAGAATTCTTTGAGGGATTAACAAGCAGGATAGATAAAGGGGAAGGAGTGGATGTAACATATTTGGATTTTCAGAAGGTGTTTGATAAGTTAAAAGTAACATCGCCACAATCTTACCAGATCATAGGGCTGCTCTCTCATCCGAGAGAGAGATGACAGCTGATGGTTTAACCTTGGGGCCATCACGCTTCAGGCAAGGGGAGAGGTTGAAAGGGAGAATCTATCACAGTAACCTCAGCCAATGCAAGAATTAAGCCCATGCTATTGGCATTATGTTGTATCACAAAGCAGATATCCAGCCAACTGAGCTAACCAACCCCCATTCGATGAAGTGCCCACACTAGACTTCTCAATAAGATGAGTCCATCAGTTGGAGGTAGCATATTAGCAAGATTAGAGGATTGATCAACTAATAGAAGGCAGAGAATTGGGATAAGGGGACATTTACAGGATTATAAACTGTAACTAGTGGATTGCCACAGGGATCAGTGATGGGGCCACAATTACTTACAATATACATTAGTGACTTGGATGAAGAAAGTGAATGGACTATAGCTGACTTTGAGAATGACACAAAAGTAGGAGGGAAGGCAAATGGTAAGGATGACATAAAGACTCTGCACTGGGAGACAGACAGGTTAAATAAATGGGCAAAAACTTGGAAGTAGAATATAATGTGGGAAAATGTGAGCTCTTGGCATTAAGAACAAAGGAGCTGTATATTATTTCAATGGAGAAAGACTGCAGAACTCTTGGTCACAGAATAATTTGGGAATTCTTGTGCACTAATCAAAAAAAGCTAACATCCTAGCCTGCAGGTAATAGGGAAGGCAAATAGAACGCAGGCCTTTATTTCAAAGGGATTGGAGTATAAAAGTGGTGAGTTTTCTAGAACAATACAAGGTACTAGTCAGAACATAGCTAGAATACAGTGAACAGCTCTGATCCCCTTATCTAAGGAAAGATATACTGGCATTGGCTGAGCGTGTACTCATTGCAGTTTAGAAGAACGAGAGATGACTTTTTGAAACATACAAGATTCTTAGGGGACCTGACAGCATAGATGTGGAAAGGTTGTTTCCGATTGTGAGGGAATCGAGGGCATCATCTCAGAAAAAGTGATTGCCCATTTAAGACGGAGTTGGGGAGGAAATTCTTCTCCCAGAGGGCATTGAATCTTTTGAATTCTTTACCAGAGAGGGCTGTAGAGGCTGGGTCATTAAGTATATTCAAGGCTGATATAGACAGATTTTTAATCAGTGAAGGTTTATGGGTTTAAGGCACAGGAAGTGGAGTTGAGGATTATCAAATCATCCATGATCTCACTGAACGATGGAGCAGACTCACTGGGCTAAATGGCCTACGTTTGCTGCTACATCTTATGCATACCTATAGACGACAAGATTCCATTGCCCACTCAGAGAGAAATACAAAAGGGACCTAAGGGGCAACTTTTTCACGCAGAGGGTAGTGCACGTGTGGAATGAGCTGCCAGAGGAAGTGGTGGAGGCTGGTACAATTACATCATTTAAAAGGCATCTAGATGAATAAATGAATAGGAAGGATTTAGAGGGATAATGGACCACACGCTGGCAAATGGGACTAGATTAATTTAGAATATCTGGTGGGCATGGACAAGTTGGACCGAATGGTCTGTTTCCATGCTGCACATCTCTATGACTCTAAGTATACACATCAATATACAAAAGAAAGATACTCAGCCATTCTCCCACGTTTTTCCCAAAAGCAAGCTGGCTCTTGCCTGTTGATGCAAAGTGCCAAGCCTTTTTTTT